TTTCCTTTTCTGGACTGCTAAACTGGAACTTTTCCGAAACTTGCCAAGAATGACTCCACTGCCTTCTCCTATTTGGACCTGGTCATGATCTAAAGCCCCACAACATCTAGATAAATTTTCTTAGAAATAGTTGGGTTACCTGGGCTACTAGGACCACTAAATTTCTGGGCCAAACGAACAGAGTTCCCCTCACTGTGGGTCTTACTCAGCACAACTTCTAGATTTAAACCGGGCCCATATCCTGCAGAACCACTCACACTTCTAATGAAGCCTAGCGTGAAAAATTTGCCTTCCACAATACGATTTCCATCACTTTTACCATGCATAAAGCCCGCCGTTTTTTCTGAAACACTGACATCCTGTGCTCCTCCAACATTTGGCACTGTCATGATGATGTTTGTTTCTTCCACCATAGAAGTACTCTGCCGACTGACATCCACATGTGTTGTCTCTACTTCCCTTGCAGCCAGGTTGACAGCTTTCTGACCCCCCACCACACTGCCACGCTGGACAGCCTGCAAGCTAACCATTCATGTGCTGAGGTCGTTTTCTTCCTTGTTTGAGCTCAAGATGTCTTCTTCCTTGTACGAACTCAGATCGGCCCTATCCCTTTGCTGGGGATGGCAATTGCACTGCCTCATAACAACCTTAGAAATTACAATCCGCTCCTCGCAAATCTTCATTGGGTATAAAATACCTTTGCAGTCTAGATCAACAGTGCAATTGATGGACTCCATACAGGACGTTGCTATCCTTACCTTACCACATTTAAGGTTCTTGAGGCTCAGCGTATCATCATCTAGTCCAACAACCTTACCCTAAAACCTCTCTATGTGACTGAAGGTGTTGAAACTCCACAAATTTGAAGGAACCCCATAGCAGCTATGCCACACAAGTCTTTCCTGGTCAAGCACCATGCCTTGTTTCCATTCTTTAAGCGGGTCACTCCACTCCTTAATCCATCCGTCCAAATGTTTGAGACTCTCTTTCATCAATGGCGCAGAATTGAAAGAGCGTATGACATCTCTACCACCACCTAGAGAAAACTTGATATCCCCTAAGCCCCTGTTCTGCAATTCCTTCTTAAATTTGGCTGCAGAGCAAATAGATTTTAGCCTAATAATCACACTCTCATATAACCATCCATTACCTTCTTCAGTTGCCATAATGGCAATAGTTGGTTTGGAAGAGGATCCACCATCTTTAACAACCTGAACATACAGTTTATTCCCATTTTGCATCATAGAGGCAGCTATGGACTTACGTCTGGTCTGCCTCCCATAGATCGGATGAACTGACCTCTGCTTCCCATCGACCTCCTTACCAAACTCTGCTAACTTGAACTTGAGAGCTTTATCATCACACCATAGCCCATCTGTTTTTTGAACCGCCATGTTTGCCGCCATTGGGCAGTCGTATCTGACAAAATCGAATCTGGTGTGTGTCGTTTTCCTTCTCTTGAAAGGGATGAAAACATCTCTCACACCTCCAAAGTTAGAAAATAAAGAGTGCAGTCTTCTCGGGTCCATCGAGTCTGGAATGTAATCCACAAAAATGGTATAGCTGACTGCCCACACCTTCGTGTTCCATGATCCTAGCCTTCCATGTCTTCGAACCACCGGCCTCCAACCTCCGAACTCTCTCTTTCTAGAACTCATCTGTTGATTAAGTCACTTTTTTATTTTTATTATTATTTTTTTTATGTAGTAGTTTAAATCAATCGTGTAGCGAAAAATATTATAAATTAGATATAATGAACTCATTATTTTCAAGTAGTTAATATACTAAGTGTGATTTATGATTTTCTATGCTTTGAGCATCATGTAAGCAACGTCATATGGTATTCTAAGACTGTTTATTAATTTTCATTCAAAACACATTATTTATAAGCAATGTCATCTCTCCAATATTTTTATGTCAAATAAAAACTAAATAGATTTTATAATAATTCGTTCTATAAATGATGTGTTTTTATTTTTGAAGTTAGGAATTTTGATCCATAATTTTTTATGCTAAAATTACAAACTTACATGATCATCCCACGCCGAGCTATTCCACACTATTATAGAATTTTGATTTGTTCTTATTAATAATGAATATGTGTAGACCGCCCCGAACTCTCTCCGTGCATCCCCCCTTTCGGAGAGGGCGCAAATTGGGTTCTAGCTACTATAGTTCAGACTCCTATCATGGTTCTGAATCTAATCTCAGAAAGTGCAATGTAAGACTGACAAATCACCAAAGAGTCTAAATCCGGCAAATCGTTTTTGGAAAATCGATTTTAATCGAAAAGCGCCAAACATGGACTGCTTTACCAGATTTCAGAGTCGCCACCTAAATATTTTATTTTGGGAAATTTAGGAAATCCTGACTCGTGCCTAAGGCCATGTGTCTGTCATCACCAAAGTTGTTTCGGCTCGGGAACTTGGGTACGAGAGGGGAAGGTCTTGAAATGAGCACCCTTGCTCGCCCGATCAAAGGATCGGCTTCTACTAAACATGATATATTATTTTGAAACACATGTGTTCTTATTCCGGTTTATTAGCTAACTTTACTATGTGATGCGCACAACATACAAGTATAGACTAAATAACTCGATTTGGAACAAAACATCTCATGTTCGTTTTTCAAAAATGGTTTGGAAGTGCTACTCTCAAGTAGGCTAAAACGCGGATTTGCCACCTGTAAGTGGGCTTAAAACAACATGATTTGCCACTTTGTAAAATGGGCTTAAAACTCACATTTGATAAATTATTCCAATTTAAGCAATAAAGCCTTCACCCACAGACATTCATGTAGTTAAACACTTAAGCAAATAGCCTTATGGCAAGCATGCTAAACATTGCAACACTCACACTCATGCAAGTATGTTAAAGCGTAAACACTTACAGTGTACTCCGAGCCAAAACAGAAAACTAGTTAGAAATCATGTATGATCCTAGCTATGTCGAAGATGCCTAACGCAACGAATGCAATAATGCAACTAATAGGCTCGGCTATATAAGATGGCATATGAATGCAACACTTGATAACATTCTTTGGAACACGTATTCAAGAAAGTGTATTAAAATATGATGCAGTTTGAATGATGCACCGAGCCCGGTGTATGCAAGACAAATGAACGATGCACGCATGAAAAGCATAAGGTATGCTAATTGAGATATGCCCTAAACTAACCATCAAAAGCTGATAAGTAAAAGGGAGAAAGAAATGGGGGTTGGAAGACATGCACACGCGCACGCACCCTTATTACAACATTGTGCCCTCTCGACGGAGGGTCCGAATGAATAAAAGCTAAGCTAATCTACTAACTAATTAACTAACTTAGCTAATTAATTAGAACACAATTGAAATTAAATAACTAGCTAATCTAAGCTAATTAATTACAAACCGAATTAATTAATTAAACGCTTAACTAATCAATTACAAAAATGACTAAGCTAATAAACTAATTAGCTAAGTAATTGGAATGAACGGCCTCGGGAAGTGAGGGGGATATGCATGCTCGATTGGCTTCACCCCGAAAATCCACCGCCTTGCCTCAAGATGCCTCTGTTTGCACTCTTTTGGACCTCTGAAAATTGTGCCAGCTTCCAGACTGCTTCTGTTTGATCCCAGGAACATGTTGAGGGATGATCAGCTAGAAGTGATGGCCATCAGCCAGTATTGGTGGCCGGTCGGCTGGCTTGGGTGGCCGGTCGGCTAGGGCATGTGGCCGGTCAGCCACTGATTCTTGAAATTTCTCCTTTTGCTGCAACAGAGCACAAACAGAGGCATTACAGTATATTTGCAAGGAAATGTGTGTGCAACTACCCTCCTTATCATGTTTCAAGCTCAAAGGAGCGTAGTACTTGGCTCTCAAGTCACCAACCACGCATCTCAATACATGATGGCTGAAGAGTCAAGCTTGCACAATGTTAGTGAATGCACAAACAACACATAAGAGCCTCCACCTCTATCATGCATGGTCAAGAGGGTCGGCGACCAAGAAATGTGACACGTTTCATCATTTGGAGTATGAAACATCTCACATTTCGTGTGTTTGGATTAACATCCGATCCAAACGCAATGCAATGCAAACAACATGCTGATCTTTCAATGCTAAAGCGGCATGCACAAGACTCAATCATGCAACCAATGCATGCAAGACATGTTAAAGGGGGCCAAGAGCACTAAAGCAAGTGAAGAAAATTACTCATGAGGCATACACTTTCAATCTCAAATGGCCAAACCAGCTATGGATAGACCATAGATACTCCAAAACAGTGGCCAAAACACACTAAAACTTAGGCACAAAAAGTAAGAAATGCATGCTCATTCATTTGCTTGCAAGCAAGGCACAAAGCTTAACTTTCAAACACATTCAGAGAGTGATACATATGAGAGTATGATAGTGAAACATGCTCTGAAATCACATATCAAATGATGACATATCATGAAAACATCACAAGTAAAGCATGCTAGGGGCCTCAAACACAAAGCTAGTGAAACCCAACTACACTATAGCTATACAAAGCTAAGCATATATGACTAAGACCACTTAAAACAGACCTCAAGCATGTTAAATCAATGGCAAAATGTGCTGGAGCAAAGCTGATACATGCTAGGATGATGAGCTAAAACCTTAGGCATGCAAGACTAGTAAGCAAAATTACACTACAAGTGTAAGATGCAAGCAACAAGTGATCAAGTCGGCCCAAAACAGAGCTCAAACATGTTAAAATATAGGCGAAAACATGCTTGAACCAAGCCTACATTAACCACAAAAATAAGCTACTTTGGAATGCTAACAACGCATAGCAAAGAGATACAAGAAGGGGAGGTGTCACGACCCGAACCCGCCTCTATGTGTTAAGGCCATAACCGACCAGTAATCACGAGATTACCTACGGCATCAAACCAAATAAGACAAAACTCATCAGAGTAAAGGGGCCAAACGGAAGCAAATTTAAAAGTTTGTCCATAGAGCCGTGCTTATATGCACATCACAACATTCAACATTTACATATGTTAATAACTCACAGCAGAAAGTATAGTAGCATAAGGTTTTGTACAGACAGGATCATTCAAATCTAAGTCAGCCAAACAAAACTATACACAGACGTATATCAAAGTCCTCGCCAAGATGACAAAATACATAGAAAGGCAAAAGGGCAAAGACGCGCCTCGTGCGTGACACGCCAGGGCTGACTCTTCAAAACTTTGGTTGTTCCTTACAAACTTCACTGAGGCTGGGTCTGGACCTCTCTTGTCTCACCTACAAACACATGAATAAGCGTGAGCGAAAGCCCAATGAATAATATCAAATAAAGAATATACATTGGAACAATATACATCAAACGGCCTTGGGCCCAATTTTTATTTCTAACTAATACATACATACATAGGCATATGTAGGTTAACTAATCGCGGTTCCAAACACATCATATGGCCTCGGGTCCAATTCATTAGTATCATTCAGGTCAAACTGGCCTTTGGCCCATTCGTACTTTTGTTCACGTCGAACTGGCCTCTGGCCCATTCGTTTATGTCAAACTGGCCTTTGGCCCATTCAAATAACAAACTGGACTTCGACCCATCCTTTCCTTCATGTCAAACTGGCCTCTGGCCCATTCAAATGATAAACTGTTATTCGTGTCAAACTGTCATTCGTGTCAAACTGGCCTTAGGCCCATTCATTTATTCATGTCGAAATGGCCTCTGACCCATTCATTCATGTCAAAACGGCCTCTGGCCCATTCATTCATGTCAAAACGGCCTCGGGCCCATCCATTCATTCTTGTCAAAACGGCCTCGGGCCCATCCATTCATTCTTGTCAAAACGGCCTCCGGCCCATTCATTTATTCTTGCCAAAACGGCCTCCGTCCCATTCATTTGGTATAGCAAACATTGTCCACCAATCGAATCAACGTAAGCAATTAGACAATAACATATTTCAGATATCTTTGTTAGATATTACTCACAGTGATCAGCTGATTGATTTGCTCTAGAGCTTGACCCTACACATCACATAACACATGGGTCGCAACCGATTCAATCCGTTCTTAATTCACATATTTCTCTTTAGGCTTAATTCCTATTCTTCTAACTCATTTGCCATGCTCAATGTATGCCTAAGAGTATTTAGAAGTGAAAGGGAACGGAAAACGGAACACAGAATGCATTTTCAAAATTCCAAAAAACAGGGTCCTCGCTCGAGCGTGGACTTCCCCGTTCGAACGGACCCATGAGGTCTGCAAAAGTGCTGGATGCATCAAAATTATGCTCGAGCGTGAAGTATGGCGCTCGAGCTAAAGGTCTGTCTACATAGCTCCCCGCTCGAGCGGACATCCAAGTCTGCAAAAATATTTGGAGCACAGAATACACGCTCGAGCGTCGGTTTCCCCGCTCGAGCGGACATCAAATTTTCTGGGTTTTCCAGAACATGTTCTTGAGCTCCAATTTGACATTCAATGGTTCTAGATGCATCCTTTTGGCTCAAACTTCACATAATCATATACTAACATGGTACCAACACCAAATTACAACACAATGGAGCTCAATTTCACAAATTAATCATATGCATGTCCCAATCTACACCAAATTCACTTTCAACATAATAATTTCATGCATTCAAGCTCATACTTCTTATGAATGGTACATGCATGTGAGATATAACTTCCATTTCTACTCAAATTGTACAAATGGTGGTCACAAGCATGGATTCTAGCCAAGATTCTACATGGATCATATTTTTCATGTTCAACTATACCAATTCATGGCAATTATACACATGCATGCATTCCATGACTTCAAATTCATCAAATACAACATAATTCTTGTTCTTGATCACCCTTCAACTTTGAATTCACAAAATTACAAGTTAAACTCATGAATTTATAATCAATTACTCACCTAGAAGCTCAATCTTCCCAATAGAAGCAAGTTCTTGAGCCTAGCCCTTCAAAGCTTGAGCTCCTTAGCAAAATCTTCAAAATTGAACCCTTTCTCTCTCTCTAAATCTGGTTCTCTCTCTCTAGAGAGGAATTTCGGATGATAAGCTCCAAAAGGAACAAAGTGAGGGTGTATAATGGCCTCTAAAAGCTCCCTCTCAAATACATTATTCTAATGTAAAATAATTGAGCACTAACCCATTAATTTAATCTAATTAATTTGATCCAAATTAATTTTTAATTAAATTTCACCGTAGGCTCTAAAAATTATGACAATCACAAGGGCGTAATCAATTTCGGGTTCGGTGGCCGATAAGGCCTTCAATTTAAATTCCGAGGCAGATAATCAAACATATATTCCTACGGGGAACAGATAGAAATTCAAAACCACATATATTCATATAAATGGCACTCAAAATCATATCAAACACATAATCATATGCATAAGGAGGATAAATTAGCATAATACGGAACAAGGGTATCACAGTCTTCCTCCCTTCAGGAAGTTTGGTCCTCCAAACTTATTTTATCTCTAGTTTAAAGCAACTCGAGAGACTTTCTTATTCAACGGTTTCAATCCTTTTGATAGTTACCTGCTTAGTCTCAAAATCAAGCAACACTCTGTTCTCAATCAGTCAGAGACTTACCTTTCCCACCATACAAGGTTTGTATGGTGCCATACCGAAACTAGAGTGTGAGCCGTTGTTGTAAGCAAAGTTTGCCAACGATGGATAGATTTTTTCCAGCTTCCCTGAAAAATCTAAGGCATGTATTTAGAGCATTCCTCCAAAAATCTAAAAGTTCTTTCTGGTTATACATCAATTAGTGGATGGAAGGTAGCGCTGACTCACAATTCAGTTCCCATCGCCTCTTGAAGGCTTGTCAGAATTCAAACACATTTTAGGATCCCTGTCCACAAACAATAGATACTAGGATCCCACGCAAACGAGCAATCCTGTCGATGTAAACAGTTGCTAGTTTATAAGCATCATACGAAAATTTCACAAGGAGGAAATGAGCAAACTTAGTAATCCTATATACAATAACCCAAACAGGACTTATACCCTGGGTGTCCAAGGTAGCCCTACAATGAAATTCGTTATTTGGCTTTGACTTGTTGGTACCGAAAATATTTAGACACAAATTCAACAATTTTCTTTTTCACAATAGGTCACCACATACTTATTTCAGATGTCAGCTAACTTTACCATAGAAGTTCGGTCTATTCCCTTGTCACAAAAGTTCAATTCATTCTTCAATAACTACGCAATTCACAATCCGATTCGGTATTTAGTTCAGTGACTTATCACAGTTATCTAAGGTCAATCAAAAGTCTACAGGAATCTAAAGCGGATCCAGACACTGATTCCCAAGTCAACAAAGATAACAACGAAGCAATCAACCACACGACATACGTAACTCATATATCCCCATAGTACTAATTGTAAAGTACAATAACATCGAGGTAGTTGACTTCTAACAGAATACACGTGTTCTCAATTCATTCAACAGTTTACAGTTTACAATTCAATTCAACATTCACTTCCATGTTCTTTCGAGTCTTTCCACACTATCTCATAGTCGCCAAAAGCAGAAGGCAATTCGTATATTAACCCTCATGATGTCAAAGATGTTATCAAAACAGTCAATCACATGTTAAACACAATTTACACATCCCTAGAGCCCCAATTACAGAATGTAATGGCACTGAGCAGTTATTTACACAATGCGTATTGAATTCACATACTTTTGGACAATTAAGGTTTTTAAAAGCTTCTTGGATGTTAATAACACCCACATAATACCAAAGGATGACATTCCAGACAAAACAAATGAATAACCGTCTCGAAATCGAAGCACACCCGTTCACGACCGTCGGTGGCCGACCCGAGATCGATTAGACAAACCCACCCGTACAAAATTGTTGGTGGCAAAAGCGATATCCCAATAAAGGTGCTACATAGGCTTAACGTTCCCTAGCATGAAAAGACATCTCAGGAATGTCATCAAAACAAACACAATACCACTCACCATAACCTGATTTCCCAAAATCCGATAACACTGAAGCAGACATATTCTAATTAGTCGAGGATAAATATTCAGTAATGTTTACAATCAAATCAATCTGTTGTCACCAGCTTCCTTAGCGTCAAATACGTAAGAACATGACAATATACAAGCATTGTTCCTTAAGACACCCAATCACTGGATTTGCACAATTCAGTTCATTTCTAACACACATGTCCTCAATAGTTGAAGGTTGGTTCTCAACGGTGTTCATGGTTAGATCAATCTGTTGATAGCCCACAAAAGGTCTTTCAAGTAAGGCAAGTACTCCAAGCGGATTCAAGTTTTGGGTCTATCAATTTCCCTGCCAAGAATAATCTAGCTATTTATTCATACGTAATCCGTACTTTCCCTTAACAAGGTCAAATCAGATAGAGGGTCTCATCAAATTAATCCCGTCAAAGGTCTTGTCAAATCAAATCGAGCAAAGGTCCCATTAAATTATATCAAATGAGGGCTCTAACAGGCCCAATCAAACAAAAGTTCTATCAGATTGAATCGGATAAAAGTTTTCTCAATGGGGTATTTTTGGTCCTGTAAGGCACACTTCGTTGCTTAGGTACATAGTCGATAGTTTCACAACTATTCTAAGTTCATCAGTTCTCAAAATCATATCGGAGTCATTCATCACGACTGTTCATGTCAAAGTATTTCAAATCATATACAATATGGCATTGTTCACATAAGTTCAGGTGTAGTTGCATGTTCAGGCGTTCATATCAGGAGGTATATATCATAATCAGTATAGAAATTCTCAAATAGGTCTTATATGCAAGCACATGGTACACAGTAACACATTAAACAAAGTTCTTCGGTTACACATAATATAAGATTTGTCACGTAGAGGTTCCAAATTAGTCACGAAAACATAGGTTTACGAGTCAAGCTTAACATAGTGTAGACACCCCATTTTTGACCGACCTTAAGACTCAGACGTCACCAACTGAGCGCTCGGTGATGATGCATGTTGTGCTCGTTCTGAGGTTGCAGAGTCTCGGCTGCGAGCCTTGCCTCCAGACTTCGGGACACTTTTGTGCTTTGCCTCGATTTGCGAACCAGGTCCTGTTTTCTCTGTTTCCTCTTCCCGAAGGGAGGGAGAGGTCTCGTAGACCATCTCTCAGTGGCCGTAGGCTACGTTTCGTGGTCGTAGGCCATTTTTCCCATTTGGAGCCCAGTTTTCGATTTTCGGAGCCGTCGACCATGTGCCTCGGTTCGGGACCGCTTAACTACCTCCGTTTGCTCCGGTTTTTAGCACAC